CACTGTTTGAAGTTGCCATAAGGTTATGTCGGCGGGCTTTTGAATTTGAGCCGCCATTTTTTTTTCGCCCTCTATTAACGTCGGAACGTTGTAATTGTTAAATATTCTGTCTATTTCCTTTTGATATCTTTTTTTTCCTCTACTTTGTCTGTCTCAACTATGAGCATGAGGTCATCTGCACACTACGCAAGCACCTTTTGAACGAATTCAAATCACAAAAATCACTGTTTAAGACGCCAACTGTTGCAAATATTGACCAATATGTCATATTCGTGATCCTCTTGTGCTAATTTGTTCTCGTTCTATTTACCAACAAAAACTTATACAGGAAAAACTTCCCTGTGGTTGGAAAATTGCACTCAAGTGTCAACAAAAAACTGCCAAATTCAGGCTTTCTGTCCATAAGCTGTCGTTTGATCTTCAACAAAACTCACGATATGGAACTACTTTCGTTGAAAAAAAAACGGAGTGAGACTAACGTGATTTGGTTAGATAGCGATATCGACACGCAACTCATTACTCCTCCGCCATGCTGCTGCTTTAGAATTGATAAGAAATCTTCATCGTGCAGCAGAGGTGGTGTTGTTGATATTGTTGTCCACCAGAGTTGGTGTATAAACTGTAAGTAGAGCAACCACCTCAGGCCTTTTCTTGTTAAAAACAGAACTCTGTTGTCAGGTTCAGATGATTCTGTGTTATTAGACCTTCAAAAAACCATTCCGCTTTCAAGCGTGCGCTGATAACCAAGCCCAAGAGGAAAATTAAGGTTCGCGACACTTCCCCTCAAAGCATTTGCTCGCATCAGACTCATATATCTTACACTGTCCTTGCTTTCCTCAAATAACCGAGCGTCAGATCCTGTTCTAGCTGCCTTACAACATTAGTTGAGACTTGTTAGCAGCCATATTTTGGTAGAAAAACGCAAGGTCTGAGTGTTATGCAAGTACTTCGAGTCAGTTTCGCGACACCTTTTTTTCTGATTATTTGTGATTATCTATTTCCTGCGTGAAGATTTGAGGTCCAGAGATCTTATCGTTTTCACCATCCCCCAAAGACGAGGAAGAAGAAGGTACGGGGACATGGAACGGTCCATGTCCTCGTACCTTCTTCTTCCTCTTCTTTGGGGGATGGTGCAAACAATATCTATTTCCTGTAGTCACAGCGGATTGATACCAAGTTCCATGCACCTTTAGTTGATGGACTGGTTACTTTTATTTTCCGGTCTTACCTTTGTAAATCTCCATAAACAGTGATTAGGGCTTTCAAAGAGCCTACCTTTCCAGCCATGGCGCTGATCTGTTCGGGGGTATAGATGCCGGTAGCAGCTTGACAACCTTCAAGGGCAGCTTTGCGAACATCTGGATCAGCGGATCCGAGGTGCTGAACCATTAACTTGATTTCAGGAGCCGAAGGACGGATGATGCTGGCAAATCTTGTCATAAGACCAGAGGCCAGTGAAATGAGTTCTGCAACAAAAACAAACAAACATCGAAAACTGTGGTCATGACGGAACCTCAAATAGGGCTAGTGAAATCTGCCAATGACAACACACTCCTCCCTGGTTATGGAAGAACAACTAGCAGGATGCCTGGGGAAGTCAACTTATGTAAATGGCAGCAGCCCTCAGATCATGCTAAATCTCTTACCACACAGAAGTCTCGAACTAGTCACCGAAGCCAGTCCCTCCATCAGTGCTGAGAATATCTGCGCTGATGGAAAGATGTTGCAGAGGGCACGCAGCAGATTGGCAAGACGTTTGCATTGCTTAGTCGAAACGGCAAAGAAACGTGCCATTGGATCAGCAAGCAGAGGCCAAGGCAGCAAAACAGCCACCTCTGGTACAGACAGCGAAATATTGGCGTCTTGAAGCTGCGTCACCACTTCTTCCAAGTACCCAAAAGCTAAAGAAATCAGAGAAAAAAAGAAACTAGAAGCGAGGGGCACACGATTACGACGGGATTAACTGTGCGGCCATCAAGAAGGCCGTTCGTGTCCTTTTTCAAGTGAGAATTGAGATTGGATGAGCGGAGTAAATAAACGACCAGCATGTGCTGACTCGAACATCTCACCTTCACTTAGAAGTTCTGTCGTCACTACTTGGTTGCCTTGCGAAAAGAATGCTTCTGAAAGCCAATTAAATATTAGGTCCAAGTTTGAAAGTGTGTCGGCGAGGTTAGTTTTTGTAGTCTGCGGCCTGCCGCCCCGTGGAGGTGCCGGCTGCGGCAGCAATGCGTGT